GCTTTTTGTGTTGTGTTTCTTTTTCTCCTTTTCATACCTCTCATATTTTACCGTAATACTGGTTCATCATATCCTGTCTCTCTGTTTGACGTCAAATCCATCTTACTGCTACTTGATATTTTTACTCTGGTGAACATGCCTTTATATACTACTACTAATGATAAATTTCATTAGTAGTACACGCCACAGTAATAAGTGTAACTATGTAAATTTGTGCTGAACTTCTTGTTCTAGACAGAACATCAGTCATAATCGAGTTATCAAATTACATACTACAGATTAATGTTGACATGACGATCGATATTTAGTCTACAAATTCGTTTAAACATTTTAGGATGACACAGATTAAATTCGCAATTTACACACATTGATATGGCAATTATTTCAGCACAGTTTCGTTTGGAAACCAAGATCAAAACTTGTCCTCTGTTTGACGCCATAAATGCTGATCTTGTTACCAAGTGTAAACGCATAAAACTATATAATACTGATGCATTGAGATGAGTAGGTGTGTACCACTCACATGAAAGCAGTAGTGCGTGCTAGCCAGCCAGCCAGCTAGATCGACTGACTGATTTCAACACACAACTTCACACAGATGGGCAGCAGTTCGAGTCGCCACACTCCTTCCAAGTAGCACACAAAGCAAGAGAAGAAAGTAAAAAGAAATGGAAAATAGAGACAGTAAACAGAGATATGAGACAAAAGGAATATTAATGTCGAAGAACAATATAGTTGCACTGGAAATTATAAGTCACAAGGAGTGGATGCATCTGCTCCAGCCATTGAGAACGAGGATTTTGAGCCATATCACCAATTGTCTCCAGCCTTCATTAGTTTTTACCATCCCAAGGACTCCAACCAACCAGTCGGCATCTTCGTACAAGGCTGGCTGGTTTAAACTAACTGTTGTGGATTTCATCGACTGATGAAGCCATGTTTTGGTTTGACCACCACTCAATAGCTATTTTCCAGTCTGATCCTATGTCGGGTAACATTGCCTGTTGTTGAGGAAGGTGATGACTAGGCAGGTGTGCGTAACACATGTCCCAACCATCTCAGTCGATTTAGCTTCACAACCTCATCTATTGATTTCCCCTCCTTACCTAGCACTTGACGCCTCAGCTAGATTGAAGCTATCTAAACACGGGACAGCCGTTTCTCTCGTCTGGAGTAGAGATAATCAACTGTGCATCAGGTGTTTTAAAGACAATCTCTCCTATTTTTTGAAAGTATTATTGATATCTTCACGGAACTGTAGTGTTAAGCGTCACATAAATCAATAGTATGAACTAAACAAGCATATCAATGTACAATTTACATCGTCAGATATAAAAGAAAGGCGTATAATTCATTTAACAAAATTGAGTTAACATACTGTGAAGGCGATATCAGTAAATGTGATTTAAATCACTACGGTTTCTTTTATACAAATGCCGACACATGAAGCCAGTGTAGACAAAGGAGATTTAAAAACGTTTTACTTGTCATATGGTGAAAAAGCAAAAGAAAAAAGCATGTCAAAGTAAGCCAGAATCAAATTGACAAAAATCGACACGTAGTCAAAAAGTTAAAAAAAGAACTAAAGTTATTGAAGATGAATGCGAATATTTGACTTTTCTGGAACCAAACTATATGCGTAAAATGAGGTGAGATCAGTATCGCATTGTAACGACAGAAGACAAGGGCCGGGCAACAGATCGTTTAATGGGAAAATCAAGGAGTATTTATAGATTTTTATGTACATTATTATTAGCGTTATTGTTGTTAGCAGGGAAGCAACGCCTTCTGATTGGTTGTTTTCTTTTTGAAGTTTATTCTGTATTGCTTGTGACCGTTTCTCAGAAAGATAACCCATATATCTGCGAATTGTATTTGCACACGTTAAGTCTGCTGTGATTGATTGGTGTTTTCCTCAAGCTTAGGCTTTGTTATTGTTTTTCTCATGACCGTGATTCTGGACGTGAACACTGACGTAAACTGTTGTCGACAATTTCGGCTCGCAGCAAGCTCTCACCAAAATATTAGTGATATTTCCTTTGTTTTCAGTTGGTTTATTGGCTTTTGGTGTCATGAAATAATGTGTTAGTTGGGTCGAATAATACGAATCATGAACCAGTGGCTTCATCAGTTAGTATCATTTCTCAAAAGTGATCACCTTTTCGTTTTCTCCTCACATCTAAACCCAAGCATTATATGTAATAAAAAGATGAATACAAGGGAGGAAAATCCAGAGTTATTCATCTCATAAGTCAACCCTAAGTTAAATCAGAGCGTCGCACAATCTAGATGATCAGATATACGAAAGCGTATACGATTCATTTCACTTGTTTGAGTTTAAAGAGCGTATTACTGAATAGCTTCTATTACTGTGGTGAGAGCTGGCTGCCAGCCAAATTGGTAGATAGTAATTTACGTCAATGTTTACCTCCCCAATATTGGTCATGAGAAAAATAAGAACAAAGACTGACTACTCCACAACCAATCACATCAGACTTTGCGTAAGCGGATACAATTTGCAGATAGATAAACTGAACTTCAAGAAGCGGCCACAAAGAGACCAGGAATTAATGTTCAGCAAGAAACCACTAATCAGAAGACTGTGTTTGTTTGCTTACAATAATCTATAATAATGTACATGAAAATCTATAAATATGTGTTGATTTCCTAAATGAACGATATGTTGCCTGGCCCTTGTCTTCTGTTGTTAAATTACTACTCATTCGAAACTAGACCGATTTCTTAATCTCGGTAACTGCTTCCGTACTTACGAAAGAAAATACGTAGGAATAAGGAAGAGGTTCTTGAACCCGTGTTCAAGACTCAAAATCTTTAAAGTGCATCTTTAACAACGATATGAAGAGGTATCCGTCTGATACAGGACGCAAGCCCAATGTATCAGAGTCATTTATGTTACTGAACAGACAAAGAACTTTACTACTACTACTACTACTACTTCGAATTTCTGAAGCTGTCACCATCTGAAGACTGGTTGCTGAGTTATGTATTCAGAAATAAACAATAAATAATTTATTACTACTTCTGTAAGCGCTGACTATTTTTACATTAGCTCATCAGAATTTTAAGTCACACAAACTTGAATCTCTACAGGCGAAAACCAACAAGTTAGGCAAAGCGGTGGATAAGCGAAGATAGGACTTCATGTATACATTGGGAAGACGGATATGATAACAATAACAAGCACCAAGCAACATAAACGGTGACGTTTTTACTCAATTAAGCAGGATCGTTTCAAAAACAGTTAGTCAGGACGGATGGGGATATCAAAACAAGGACGAATCAGAAAATTAAAATTAGCCTTCATTCTTCAGGAATCCTTATGGAGATACAGTGCACCCACCATATGGAACAAGATCCAAATTTTCAAGACGAATGTCAAATTAGAGATTCGGCGCATCAACATTTTAACAGGCTACAAAAAATTCCATCAGCAGCCACCTTCTCTTGCTCGTTACGGAATATCAGATGTCTGATCGTAAAGGATGAGCAACAAATGGCTAGCAACAAATAAACTAACTAACTAAGAATCTATCGCCTAATAAAAGTGAAGCCAAATATAAATTGATTGGACATACGCTGGAGTTTTCGTTGAGTGACAGTGCGCATCAGGCAGGTTATCGAGTGTGAACCGAATAGGAAACGACAAGTTGTGCATGAATTTGACAGTGACATGGAGGAGATGAAAGCTTGTGGACAATCTTGGAGACAGCTGGAAACGACTGCAGTGAAAACATTGAAAAAGCAAAGTGCTGCTGAAGCCTAAGGTTCTGCTAGGAGCCGTAAGGAATAATATAAATAATAATAATCATAATAATAATGATAGTAATGCAGCTATCCAAAAACTCCTGTGAAACACTACGATGAATTCAGCTTAGATCCTAAAGAATTCAAATTTTGTTTAAATTGTCTATTTCAGTATTTTTTTCCCATCTGCTCGTGTCGAGCTAGGTTCAAGAGTTCAAGAGGATGCAAGAACACTATCCTGCATGGTTACGAAGAGGTGGAAGTGGAGCAATAAGAAGCGCGATCATTGAACATCTCGTCGATAATGATCACCCTATCTCTATAGCCTCCTCCTTTAAAGTCATCTACAAGGCAAAACGTAATTTACCAAAATCACTACAAACCCGGCTCATCTGTATTGCTGAAGCCATTTTTAGCTATCGAAACAGAAAAGCCAGATCTCTGTGTACAGAAAAAGTTCGTTCAACCCCTCCCCTCCAACTTTCATGGTCTTAATTCCTCTATGCTAAAGTATGGTAATCCCTAATTATACTTTGGCTCTACCAATTTTTCATTTTTTATTTTGTCTATTCAATTTGTATACTCTTCCTTTATTACTATTGTTATTATTATTTTGTGCATTCACACCTATGATTCAATTCCCTTATCGGATATAACTTCTTAAAAACCAAAGACATGCGATTGTAAAGCTTGATAATAAATTCGTCGATGAAAAGAATCTCTTCGCCGAATCACTTGTTTTGATTTTCTATATGTTACAATCGGAATTTTCCATGAATCTATAGAATTATCTGACGTATCCTTCCTGAATCTGTTCAGATTAAAGAAAGTGCTGATAAGGTTGCTATATGAAGTGAATAAATTCCCACATAATATATGGTGTGGCATAATTCCACTTTGGGAATTTAGCATAATAAAATCCTATTTTTCTCAGCAATCACACAGCTGATACATGATCAGAATGACCTTGGACAGCCTACTGCATTCTGATTGGACGATAGATTATGATGTTGACGATAATGACCTAGAGAATCTGTCAAGGCCAAAAATCATCCCCCTGTTTTAGGAGGGAGGAAAAAGCTATTATGGAATTTCTCGAATGAAGTATCTTCTTTTTGGGATAGAATCAAAGTCTGCTTACGTCATTCTCCTTACACGTATTTTGTTTATAAAATTTTATAGACTACACTAAAAATAGCCTACCCTCCATACGCGTATCATCAATTTTCGCTTACATAATTTCAACAACCAAAATGTTGGTGTTTGTGTTAAATTCTGTATTTTTATCTCCATTTTTTTCGTTTTTCCAATTAAAACAGTACCGAAATCCAAAGCGCCAATTGGATGAATTTTAAATTGTGGTCTAATAATTGTAATTTGTGTGTGTAATTGATAGATATCAGTAGAATTATTGATCATTGAATCAACAAGTGTAACGTTATTTATTTCAACACTGGTTACTTGAAACTTGAACAAGATTTCATTTTTCAAGCGTAAGTGCGATTCATCAATCTAAAATGAATTATAGAGGTAATGAAAATAAATAAATAAGAGAATTATAATATTAAATTCAGTCGTGAAAAACATTAGAGGACATAGCAAAGTTAAAGAATAGACACCTAGAGGAACAAACCCACAAATCATCTTGGAACTGACATTTGCACTGATAAGGCGAGTTTGCGACTCTAATCCAATCCTCATATGATCTGCTCCATGTCCATGCGTTGGACGTGGATTAAACTCACCGTTTCTCATTCGGGTTCCACTTAAGGCGTCTGCACTGCTCGTTATGTCACTCAACGTTCACCTTAGAATCTTTCCAGTCTACCTTCATTCTCTTCTCCGTATTTGTTGGAAACCAGGTTCTTGGTTGGACTGTAACCACAGTTTCTTGTTGCTAATCCTTTCTGGCTAACAGTTTGATCCTCAGTATACAGCTCGTCAAGGTAGGTGTTAATGAAAATCTCAAGTAGCCTGTCGGGATTGTCTGCTAATATCGTTTATATAAGAAATATGCCTGCTAAATGCAGCTGTTATTAAAAGTAAGTATTGGTCACAATTTCATCAATAAGCACTTAAACTCGAATCGTAACACCAACAACAAGCCAGCATCAAAGGGCACAAGAAAATTCATGCAACAATATATAAGAAATATCTCTGAAATAACAGCTAGAATATTAAGACGGTTTGAAATAGATATAGCACACAAGCCAGCCAACACAATCAAGAAAATAAAGTAAAATTAATACCATTTATAAAAAAAATTGTATGAACTGCAATAAACATTACACAGGTTAAAGTGGGCGTCTCCTTCGAATCCGAATCCAAGAACATATTTCAGTTGTGAAAAGATACAATATGTATTCTTTAATATCGATGAATGTGTAAATAATTACGGACACCATAATGGAATTACCGACACCGACTTGGGTGCAATAATGTGGAAATTTTAAACAGAGGAAACACCAAAAATGCAGTCAGGTAATTCCTAGAGGCCTAGTACTCAAGTGAATCAGCCAGCGATTAACAAACACACATTACTATAGACTGAATTTACCAACTAATGAAATGTAAATCACATGACAACAAAGTTCGAATTCCAAGTTAGTCAATAAAAATGATCAATAGAGGTGTAAATTAACAGCCCAGTGAAGACAGTGGTCGCCAGGAGATATAATTAACTCATTCATTGAGAATTTGAATGAGTTCATTTTACGCTAAAACCTGTGCTGGAAACGCTGTCTAGAAGGACGACGAATGCTTCGCAATTAAATCAGCCAACTCAGAGAACACAACTTATTGATTATTTGAACAAAGCAAGAACTACAGTTTTAGAAGAATAAAAATGGTACCATCTTTTATTTCGTTGCCTTCTCGTCAGCTGCTTACAGAGCAAAGACATTATTAAATACATCTACAAAACAATTTTAACATGTATGTAATATCAAACACTATGGATGCATAAATCAGGTTTCAGGCGCTTGATGGAAATGGCTTCACCAAAAACTTGAGGAGAATTGAGCTCTTTTGCGTATTGATAATTTTGAACGACTCTTCAACGTCCACCTCATGACCCATGTCAAGGAGATGCCTGGCGATGGCACTGTTTAGAGGATTTGTTCCCTTTAGACATAAGCTTTTTGGTACATGTTCAGAAAATCGTAGATACGCCCTTCTCTCTGTCCTTCCAATGTAACTGCTCCCGCAGATACATGTAAATTTGTATATACAGTCGGAGTTCACATGAGAAGAATATCTATCGATTTTTGATTGCACCAAAGAGCAAGTTGTTTGATAGACGGGAACGAGTTGAGCTGCAGGATAGGCTCTGGCTAGTGATGTACTCAGCCTTCTGTTGATCATCGCTGCGATGTTTTCACCTTTATAATCTTGCTAAAAGTAGTTTGTCTTTTTTCTTACTGTGATTTGTTTTTCATTTGTGACTTCAGAACTTCCATACTTGTTGATGAACCTTTGGGGGTACCCATTGCTCTTCAATGTCTTTTAAAGAAACTCAAATTCTTCCTCTAATTTTTCTATGGAGCATATTCTCCTCGTTCTATAGTACAGAGTCTTGACTAGATCGCGTTTAAAGCTATTTGGAAAAAGCTATTCAAATGCAAGTATTGTCCTTTCCATATGGGCTTTCGATAAATTGACTTTTGAAGACTACCATTCTTCTAGGCGTTCCATGGCAATGTCGAGCAAGTGAAACTTTCCGCCACTTTCATGTTCCACAGTAAACTCAGTATTGGTGTGTGCATAATTATTGATTATTTAATAACTTTTAAACTGTTGTTTTTGAAGAAGGTTTTTATTTAGAAGGAACTGCTTTACGGATTCCTCCTTTCATTAAAAGACTGACTTATTGACGTAAAAGTTTTGCAGAAGGAAATATAGCTCAAACCAACAATCGAAGACCTCATGGGTTGACATAGTGTTTTGATTTAACCCCTCGTAATTTTTCTCCAATTTAATCCAATATGAGCTAACATCTGCTCAACGAAGAAGGTGATGGACTGGTCATGTGTAACACGACGGGTCTTAGCCAGCTGCATCGATATAGCTTCACAACTTCACCAACTGACTCATACTCACTACCTAACATTGTAAGCCTAACCTCAATATCACTCACCATACCTTACTACTTAACACAGAAAGCAGGACTCAAATACTTATGATCAAGGACAGTTAAACTTTTCATATCTTCCACCTTCTATGGCTATGTCTCACAGGCATGATAAACGATACAGTCAACTGATAGCCAGTCAAAAACGTCATTTAGTCGATAGTTGCATATTGTGCGTATGCCGGAGATGACATAATTTGTAATTCCATATTAGTTTGTTTATTAGACGTATCACACAGTGAAGAAACAGTGTTATTTACCGGATGCCACAGTTTCGAACAAAATTTATTGTGGTTCATAATCATCTCATCAATTATAATCACACGACTTCGAAACTTGAGTTTTACGGTTTTCTTTGTTCTCTCCTATTCATCGTCTTAGGGGTAATAGAATTTTCCAGATATCTGGGTGAACAGGTGTTGAATCATTCCAATTACACGTGTTTGCAGTTGATTCGATAAACAAAGATTCCGTTATCAATCTCTCCCTCCACCTAGTGACATTAGATTTTAGATTAGATTGAGAAAATCACTACATTCAGTCCCATCCGAAAATTATGGTTAAGGTATGTAGATGACACATTCACGGTACTTAGAACATAAGATATAGATAGATTTTTTGAACACATCAACTCCAATTCAATTCACTGATGAATTGGAAAGCCAGGAAGGGGAGCTCCCAATGTTAGATTGCAATGTGAAGAGGAAAGAAGATGGGAAGTTAAACACTAGTGTGTTTACAGGAAACCCAAACATGCAAACAGATATTTGGACTTGAAATGTTTAAGTGACAGAGCACAAAAAGGTAGCACCAAGGAAAATCTAAGACAGGAAGTGATACACATGAAAGAAGCCTTGAAACTTAATAATTACCCGGATAAATTAGTCAAGAAATATGTAAGGAAATGTAAAAATAAAATAAGTAATGATAGTGGCGATAGTGATAATAATAATAATATTAATGACAACACCAATAATAAGGAATCTAAATCATCAATAGTAATTCCATACAAGGAAGGAACCTCGGAAACCACCTTACGCAAAATCCTTAACAATACTGGCAGGAATAAAAGTGGCTGACATTCAAACCAACCACAAACTCAATTAGAAACAAGCTTTGTTGGTTACAGGATCCTGTGGAGCCTTTAAAATAAAACAATTTAGTTTATCGAATACCCTGTCTGCGATGTTTGTCAGGTCAAATACATAGGTCAAAGTAGTAGAACAGGGGCAGTCAGACTAGCTGAACATAAAAACTTAGCAAAATCTAGATTGGTTGACCCGAATAAAATAAGAAATCTAGAGAATAGTTCAGCTATAGCACTACATGTAATCACACACAACCACGCAAAGGATGGATGGGATAGGATGAGAGTTTTAAAATCTAATGTCACAGGGTATAGGGAGAGATTGATAACAGAAGCTTTGTTTATTGAATCAACTGCAAATACATGTAATAGGAATGATTCAACACCTGTTCACCCAGATATCTGGAAAATTCTACTACCCCAATGACGACTAATTGGAAAGGACAAAGAAAACTATGAAACTGAAGTTTCGAAGTCGTGTGATTATAATTGATATGATTATGAACAATGAATTTTGTTCGAAAAGTCATCCAGTAAATAATACTGTTTTTTCACTGTGGGTGATACATCTAATAAACAAACTAATATGGAATTACTTACTACCACAGTGCCCAAGTTTTACACATATATTCATATGACATAATTTGGCAGATATCAAACAAGCCCTCTTTATATCCATGCTGAAATTTAGTCTCTTCATATAAGTCTATCTAAATAACAATGTGATATACAGATTAAGTGATTTATAGCGTAAATATGTACAGTCTTTTGATTGACCACACTCTCAAAATAAACAAATTGTCTGAGTATGATAAAAGGTTGATGCATTGGCATAAAACTATTTACATGTACTTCAAACATTTTCCAGTAAACAAAACCAACCGATTAATTGAAAATCTAAGTAAGTTAAAGCTTTGAATGTTTTCATATTACGCATGAAAATGATCCGAATTACGTGACTGTGCTTATAAAACATTATTAATTAATATGAATATGGCATATCAATAATATCTTCTCATATATATATTTTCAAGTATTGGTTTTGTAGGGATTTTGTTGCATTGCATGGAGGATTTCATCATGAGCTGACATCAGTTATAGAACCACTGTAAAACCTGGAAGTACTAGACAGCTGTTTCGTCCTAGTTTGGGGCTCTTCATCAGAACACACCCACCTGTCGGGATTCAAACCCAGGACCTTCTGGTTACAAGGCGAGCTCATAGACCATTGAGCCCATCATTTCTGACTTCCGCCAATTCAAGGACCATTGATTCGGGTCCCAGTGGCTCAATGGT